AATGAAGCTTTAAGTTTGTTTAGAAGTAGTTATTTACAATTCAAAAAGGATTACTCATAAGTTACTTTGTAAATATGAATAAGAAAGCATTGCATTCCCTAATAAATTCCAATAGATATTATAGGAGAACTTTGGATGGAATCCTTCCTTTTATTTGAGTCTCTTGAAATTTTTTGTTAAACCGTAATCCAAGCCCAGTTAACAAAATAATCTTAGATGATATAAATAGAACGAGGCTTAAGACAGTGAGAAACAATCTTCTCACACATTGCTACATGTGACAGCCAGGATTGTACCACCACAGAGGTCTTCACATAGACTGGAACATAAATCAGAGCAAGCTGTGGAAACAATAACTTTCCAAATATTGTTCTCTAGTGTCAATACAGCGCCACAACAGGAAAATATGTCAGCCTCAAGTGTGGTCTCACTCAGGATTTCAAAGGATAATACACACAGCTGCCCAACAGAGATGCCCACCTCTTTTTCTCAGTATACACTTATCTGCTGATTTCAGATGGGACAGTTGGCTGGGATTGAAGATGATGCTGGCTTATCATTCACTGGCTTGGTGCAGTTCATGCTAAACTGAAATGTTAAGGTATCTGTCTGGCTGTCATCCTCTGACACTTGTGTCTTAATTTTCCATCATTGCTCTTCTGCCTAGCATCAGTTTTGAATCTGTGTTTTAGACTTTTTTTTTGTAATTTACAGGGGTAAAAAATGCCTCTGCATCATAACCAAATACAATTATTTTACATGAGACATTCTAGAGCTAATGTTACTTTATACTTTTATCCCACAATTCTTAAGAATACTGTAGATTTATTTAGCCCTGCCCTATCTTCATAACCACAATAAGATAATGGTGATAGGGTGATACTATAAGAAACCATCTCTCTCTTAGATCCAAGCTCATTTACCGACTGTGGGGTATGACCAATTTAGTAAAAATTGGTCAATATAAATGTGTATATGGACTTTAATATATAGACCTATGGTTTTAAACTTTTAAATTGTGTGTGTGTGTGTGTGTGTGTGTGTGTGTGTGATATCATGAGTATGAAGTCAAATGACAATTTCATGAAGTTAGTTCTCTGCTTCTAACTTTATGTGGATTTTGATGATTAAACTCAGATAATCAGACTTATATAGCAAACATTTTACTCTTTGTCACATCTCTCTGGCCTAAAGTTATCTTTTAACTATAGATATTAATTATAACTGCTGTGTATAGAAACTTCATTTTAAATAACTTCTTACATTTCTTATTTATTGGCAGTGACTTCGCACACGTAACAATATGCATAGATTTGTGTTGAAGGCTAAGAAGGAAAAAAAAATGGGCTTCACACTAGGCCCCTTAAGTCTTATTCCAGCAATGAGTGAAAGAAATGGAAACAATAATCAGAATTTTCACATCTTAAATTCTTCAAATTTTGTTTCCATTCAGTGTAAATGATGGGATTTTTTTTTGCCTGTGTTGTGTGCCCAGCATTGTGTTGAAATTTTTAGACATACATTTCTGAAAAATCTGTGGGAAGCTGATCCATTAAAACTTCTCTTTACATGTAGGTCAATCAAATCATCATTGCTCAACATTACATACACACTGGAGTTGTAAGTACAAATCAGTAGGTCCTAAGGTTTGTTTTAAAGCTCGCATCTTGTGGCAATCTAATGGCATGTATTCACATTTCTTATTAAATGTCTTTAAACTTAATGTAATCATCAGCCACTCCTCTTAATAATACGTTTCAAACTGAACTACAAGAGTCGAAGGAAATGACCGCTACATGAAGTGTACAATTTATTTTAATGATACAGGGGCACTAAATATACTTCAAGAACAAAAATACACTGAATCAAAGTCTGAAGTGTGGAGCTTTGGTCGGAATCAGAAAGCTTCTGGTGACAAAGAGCATAAAGTGAAGAAGGCTATTTGCTGCTAAGTTGTGTTTTCTCTCCACTCAGAGATGAAGTTGTTCTCCTGAAACATAGGATATGGTAATTATAGCAAAGATATGTGTCTGTTGATGGTGAAGAGAGATATGGTATCTATAAAGAAGGAGTTTCAGAGACACTGCAGGTAGATCAGGGCAGACAGGCGAACAGACAAGATTTTATACCAATTTCAATATTCTCCTACTGGTACTTGTGTTGAAAGATATCTTCCTAGGAGAAATAAGGGCAGCCAATGAGCAAACCTAGAAATACAGGCATCATATACTCCCTGCTATTATTTATTACCATTATATCCACCAAATATCGGGAATGAAAACAAAATGCACAGGGAAGCAGCAGTACATTGGTTGGAGCATGTAGCAACAAAACTACATCTTCCAAGTTTTATAACTCTAAGTAGTTACTATGTAGTCTATTGGGCTCATAGCATATATATGTCATATAACCTACCAAATATGCACTGAAAATTTCAGATGTGTTAACTAATGGAATAGCCATATCTGCTTTCAGGAAAATAAATTGTATTCAGCAGTGTTTGTGTTAATTGGTTTTGGAAACTTGGACAACAAATTAGTCACTTAAGGAAATGTCACCCTCAGATTGGCCTGTAGGTATGTCTGTGTGGCATTTTCTTGACTGTTGATTATGGTGATATTGTGTCCCCCAATATATTGTGCACCGTAATATACTTATCTGGGGTCAAAGAACAGAACGCCACTAGATAGACATAGAGGCCAGAAAAATGGTGACACACACACACACATCTTTAATCCTAGCATTCCAAAGGCAGAGATCATCTGGATCTCTGTGAGTTCAAAGCCACACTGGAAACAGCCAGGCATGGTAACACACACCTTTAGCCCCAGGAAGTGATGGCAGGGTGCAGAAAGGTGTATAAGGCAAGAGGACCAGGAACTATGTTTGTTAAGCTTTTAGGCTTTTAGCAGCAGTTCAGCTGAGATCCATTCGGATAAGGACTCAGAGGCTTCCAGTTTGAGGAAACAAGATCAGCTGAGGAATTAGCAAGGTGAGGTAGCTGTGGCTTGTTTTGCTTCTCTGATCTTTCAGGCTTCATCCCAGTACCTGGCTCCTGGGTTTATTTTTATTAATAAGACCTTCTAACAATTTGTGCTACAGTTGAAAATTGTTTGTTTGTTTTATTACTTTTTTGGGGCCCACCACCCCAGAAAATTTCCCATATAAATACACAGAGGCTTTTTCTTACTTATGAGTGCCTGCCCTTAACTTGGCTTGTTTCTAGCCAGTTTTTCTTAATGTAGCCCATCTACCTCTTGCCTCTGGACCTTTTCCTTTCTCTTATTTTTGTAAATCTTACTCTTACTCTGTGGCTTGCTGTGTAGCTGGGTGGCTGGCCCTAAATGTCCTCCTCCTTCTCTAGCTACCATGTCCTTCTTCCTTCCAGATTTCTTCCTCTATTTCTCCTCTCTTCCTGCCAGCCCCACCAATTTCTCTCCCCTGCCTTGCTATTGACTGCTCATCTCTTTGTTAGACCATCAGGTGTTTTAGTCAGACACAATAACACAGCTTCACAGAGTTAAACAAATGCAAAAAAAAAAAAAAACAAGAGTAACACACCTTAAAATAATATTCCACTACAGTTGATTGATAGAGGATTTCGCAGCCCATTGTGGGCAGTCATCCTGGGAGGTATAAGAGAGGTAACTGAACCTGAACCTGAGACAGATCATGACAGAAAGCAAAATTCCTCCACAGTCTCTGCTTCAGTTCCTGTCTCCTCATTCCTGACTTGACTCCTACCATGATTTTGCTTGATGATGGATTGTAATATGGTAGTAGAAACTAAATAAACCTTTATTCCCCAAGTTGATATTAGACAGTATTTTATCAAAGAAACAGAAACCAAAATAGGAAAACATTTCACAAATTAAATTTGCAATGAGAAAGAAAAATATTCAACTGTTATTTCAGGATGGATTTATTGATAGACAAAAGTATATTAGAATGTGTACATAATGGATGGGCACATAGCTACAAGGCTACATGCATAAAACATGTAATTTATTCAAATAAGACACTGTTCTACCTAACATTAAGGAAATGAAAAATCTGTGAGAATTTAAAATACACTTATTACTTATAGTGGTGTCTGTGACATTAATAAGAATGTAGGATATAAAGCTCAAAAAGAAAAAAAAATTAATTTGTGTTGTAGACTCTTGAGTACTGTCTTAACACAAGCCCATTCGGGAAATAGTGGTTGAAGAAGAGTAATCAATCTCTGCAGTAGAAATATGAAGCAGAAGAATAGATGGATAGTGTTGGCAGAAACACAGTAGAGGGACTCTGTTGTTTGACTATTTTACTTCTATACACATTAGGTAATATCAGTGGCAACCAAATGTATCAATTTACAGTGGAGGCGATGAGGAGAGAACCATCATGATAATCTCATAATGTGATTATTATTGAAACAAGTCTTGTATTTATAGATTCAGAATTCAAATATAATTACATCACATTCCTCTTTCCTTTTCTTCCCTTTATCATCTCCCAAAATCCTTCCTCAGACCCATTCAATGTCTTCCCTTCACTCTGAAATTTGTGGTCTCTCTCTTTTTTTTAATTCATGTTGCTTTTTATATATGCATACATGTAGTGGACCAGCCCCCACACTTATTTGCCCCAGGAACTTTTGAGGAATGAAGAATAAGAGACTTAGTTAGTTATAGAGGGGGAAAATAACAGAGAAAACACAGGATAGACTCAGGTGAACCTGGATCCTTATCCACCAGGCCAGAACTTTATTCCAAAGGTATAACAATGCCAAGGGGTAGAGCAAAAGACCTCCCTCTTGCTAGTTACAGTCACCTGGTACCCAGGCCCATGGTCTAATCAACCCTTTATGCAGTCCTGCTGTGTACAGCCACTAGGAAACCTAGTGAACTACAACATATAAATATGCACAAATATATAAATACAAAGTGCCCTTTTTTGGTTCTTTGCTTTTGTGTTTTATTTTGTTTTTGTGTGTAGGTCTGTATGGTTTCAGGGCTTTTTATTGGATAACTGCTTGGGGCTCTAACTTTTCCTTGGGAAATGTCAATTCTTCTTCTCTCTGCGGTCACCAATGTGCTGGAATTTCTTGTCTAGAGCTATGACCCTGTGAGCTGTTCTCTCTTTGGCATGAACATGTCTATTGGAAATGCCATGGCTCAGATCTTGTTTATTCAGCAATTTCTGGGAGAGACTGTTAAAACAGAAGACTTCCTGGTGTTCTGGCTCTTGCATCTTTCAAATCCACTTTTTCATAATGTTCTCTGAACCACAGATGCAGGAGCTGTGATGTAGACATATTCAGTGGGACACAGTTCACCATGATCCATTGTTCTCCTCTAGTGTCCAGTTGTAGTTTTCTGTTATGATCTTCATTTTCTGATAGAGACAACTTCTAGATGTGGGGTGGTAGCTACACTTCCCTGTAGGTGTAAGAACAAGATTTAGATTATAGTTCAGAATTCTGCAGGTCTAGAAAAGTAATGGTAATAGATTCTTTTATAAATGTCACGATTTCACGAGTCCTGAGAATTTGATGAGGTACCAGACATGTTTTCTTCCTGATAAATGGGCCATAAGTTCAATTAGACAGATGTTGGTTATGACCAACATGTGAGTGTCATGTATTACAGCTTTACAATTGCCGTGCCGGTCATTGTTATACTTCCAATGTTTTGCAGCTGGGTAGCATTATAACAACATATTCACAGTCATCGTTCAGTTGTTGACCTGTCATTCAAGCTTTAAATGTCATTTCCTTTTGATAATGAAGTCTATATATTATATAACAATGCATTATGCAGATAACATATAGACAAATCCTTCTTTCTGAAAGAAATTTCAATAACAACCATTTCCATATGTAGTGGAGAGGATTTTGTTTTTCATTTCAATCAAATCCACTTAGAGAATGGAGATACAATTTTTATAGAAAATAGAATCTGTACATCATTTCTCTGTGGAATTTAGGAATTTAGGAAATTCTGCATGGTTTTTCTCTTAAGAATTTATGCCACATACGGAGGGATAAAATGTAGAAGGCAAGGCAAGAAAAAAGAACACTAAAGTACCTTCTTTGTCATTACCCATCATAAATAGCTGTCTGTAGAGCAAAGAAAACATGGCGATGTGTTTGATGACAAGTCATTGCCAACAGAAGATGCTATTGTATTTAGCCCTGGGAAAGAGAACTCTAGACCATACTTAGGAATGCTTTCTGCTTATGGGAAAAATGATGAATGATACTTAATTGCCTATTCACATTTTGTGCCACAGTGAGTACAGAATTTGATTTGGATGAATTTTCAACAAATAGACATCTGGTTTTCTTAAGTATGTGAAAGAAAATTCATCTCTCTCATTTCTCTCCTTCAGCTTTCCCTAAATGTGAAATCATCACAAGAACAGATTTTTTAATGAAAACTTGCAGTGATTTATTGTTGAAAAATATTTATTTTCAAGTTTTTATTTGTACTCAAAGTAATTGTGAAACAAGTATTCAATTTTATTCAGACAGAACCATAAAAATTTACCACACATTTTTGTAGTTAGTATTTCATGTAAAATAGTTAGCAAATTAAATTTATTAGACATACTATTGTTTTCCAAGACTATAAAATCATGAAGTAATTATTCTATATGTGACAACACACATTTTGATTTGATTTTCAAGCTCTTAGTGAATCCATGGCATACAATGATGTTCTGACTATGAACTGAAGTCAAGCAGAAGCTTTCCCATTCATCAGCCATGGTAAATTTTCTGGGACAAAGTATTAATGCATGTGCATAGTGTATCCATACCCTCTAGTCTTCTGTCTTTGAGACAGTCTCACTGTGTAGACCTGGCTAAGCAGGAACTCACTAAAATACTAGTTTGCAGTTGAACTTACAGAATTTCACCTGCCTCCTGAAAGATGTGGTTCAATTGGTGTGGCACCATGACTGGTTTAGTACATTCTTTCTTAATCGCGTATATTTCCCCTTGCTCCTTAGCTGTAGCAATTCCTCAACATCTTAACAAAGAAACAAAAGAAGTCAAGGCATTATCCATCACACTTAACAATGTTTTTATGTTATCTGATTATAATTTAGGTATTATTTATTAAATACATAATATTGATATTAGCATAAACAGAATTTTCTGTGCATTACACAAAATTCTAAAAACATTAATAAGGGTTAGTAAACTCATTAATTCAAAGTGATTATAATAATTTAAATAGACAATGAAAT